GGCGGCTTCCCCACTGTACATTTAGCTCTGCTTGCCCAAAGCAGGGCTAAATGTAGGAAACTACCCACCCGGCACCAGAACGGCATGCCCCGGCCGTCGGGCGATAGGAATCCCACACCCCTGCTGCCCCTCCACTCCCTGCTGCCCCGAGGCCGGGCCTTGGTTGGGAAAATCCTGCCCCGTCTGCAGTGTATGCCTGCAATTTGACTTGAAGCTCAGTGCAGACGTCATTGAAAAGCAGTGAACCAGTCATGCAAGCAGGACCTGAATGAACAGACGGCCTCCGGGTTGCAAATGTTGCAAGGAAGCAAAACTGGAATTGTTAGTAAGTTCCAGCATAAGAAGATTGCAATGGAAAAGCAACGTTTAATAACATGTAATTGTGCAGCAATAATATGTATCATTATAGTGTGTGTGAAATGTTCCCGTAACACTCCCCGCCAATAAATCACAATACGACCTGTAATATTTTAAAATAAGCTTTATTTTTCGTGTTTTGCCTCCATGCCTTTAGAATTGACCCGCGCTGAGGCGAGCGTAATTAAAACTAATGATACCAATCATTTTTAAACTATGTATATTTCACTCTCTTAAATAGATCCATCTTCTTAGTAACATTTGTTTTTTTAGATTTCCTAGCATGTAATGAAAAATACTAAACCATGAGCTTTCTTAAAAAAATAAAACACAGGAAAAAAAAAAAAAAAAGGGAAAAAGCTTTATAAAACATTTCGCCTGGACAGAGAAGCCCGCGGGCCGTCCCTTAGCCAGACAGATCCCTTTAAAAAGCTCTGACGTCTTTAACGAGCGCCATCATCCCCAACGAACAGTGGAAGCAGCCATATTGGAGGACTCGGCCAACATTCGCCCCATCGCTTTGCTACGCAACAGTGGCGTCGCTGCACTGTCACCGGGCCGCATTCTATGCAGTTCTCGTTAGCGGGCAACATGGCTGCTGCGCTGTTTGCAGAAGACAGTGATCACACACACACACACATCATATTAACAAGAAACGATATTTATAATTTTAAGACTATATATATATCCCTTTCAAATAGGGCGCACCAAATTCAAAAATACCATCTAACGTTATCAAATGTGTACAGTTTTCAGAGGTTGACATTCGGTTTTTGTTTTCAATGACAGGAAATAAAGACAAATAATTGTAAAAAAATCTGCAGCATTTTTTACCCAAATTTTTAAAACAGTAGAAAGGAAGGGGGGGGGGGGGGGGGGGGGGCTGGTTTACAGGCAACTCAACTAATTGGAGAAAAACATTGTTAGTTACTTGCACAGAGAATTCTGACCCATGTTCATCAATGTCCGGAAAAAGAAGAAAAAAAAAGACAGACATTCTTGTTGCCCGTAGCAACCAAATGTTTACTTTTAGCCCTCATTCACACTAGAAACGGCAGGCATGTACAGCTCCGTGCACGGCCGTATCGGGCAGCTTTCGGGAAGGACAGGTGCTGCGTGTGATTAGTAGGCAACCCCTGTCCTTCTCTATGGGACTACGCGGCCATACGCACCCCCTACGCTCACCTCAAGGATCCATCCTGTCAGCATACGAGTACGCTTACCCACACGGACGTGTAGGGCGGGTGAGCGTAGGGCGGCGTACGGCCGCATAGTCCCATAGAGAAGGAAAGGGGCTGCGTACTAATCACACGCAGCACCTGTTCTTCCCTGGAGCTGCCCGTGCCGGACGATTCCCGTGTGAATGAGCCCTTACCCTCTATAAAACAGGGGTAGGCAACCTGGACACTCCATGTTATGCAACTACAAGTTCCATGAGGCATTGCAAGACTGACAGAAAAAAGTGTGACTCCCAGAAGCAGATGCATGATGGCATTGCTTAGCCCCTGCTCTATAATAAAATGAAGAAAACAAAAATGAGAGCGTTCGGTTGCTACGGACAAAAAGGACAAGACTCTTCACATATGTTGATAAATAAGGCTCTTTGATTTAAAAATAAAATGCCCAAACAAAGTCCTCTTCATGCAACTGCCAGCTAAGACTGCATGGCCTGGGATTACAGAATTTCAATAGAGAACATAGAATGCCAATAAATACAGATTGGTTTTTCTTAACTGTGCAAATTGGATTTATACAGAGCTGTGTACACGAGAATAAAATCAGAATGATATGGTGAATGGATAAAATAGACAGAATCACACTCAAAAATATATCCATGAGCTTGTGCTCTGTAAAAGTGCTGGGCCTCATTTACCAAAAAGGTCCGACAGAACCAGGCTGCACAGAGCAGATTCTGCTTTATATTTTACCAGCGCAGAGAAGAATTTGATGGGTTGCTATGAGCAACGCAGAGGTTTTTGATGAATGAGGCCCAGATCGTTTGTGTATATGGTAACCGTAAGATTGCACGTCTGTGAAAAGCTGCCATGTTGCTGGGAGCCAGTGACTGAAGCTGAGCCAAACCTTCATGAAGTGTTTTTCATACATACGAGGTACCAATTATTTGTGAATCTTTGCCCATTAGGGCTACAAAATAACTGGCTGCGTGTAAAGTGATGAGCACACGTTTAAAGTGCACCTCCAGCCTCGACAGAGGGAGGGCAGCTGATTTCTTTTTTTTCAATAAGCCAACTGGAAATCACTTTATTGAAGCCAGGATGAATTTAGATTGGTTGCTATGGATACTGCATTCAGGCCTAATCATTAAAACCGTGCAAGTAACTGCACAAAATAAACAACCCACAGCCACCACGCATCTTATACTGGTCTGGATGAATGATTGGTTGCTATGGTTACTGCATTCGGGCCTAATCAACAGAGCAGTGCAAGAAACCATGCACAAAGTACAAAACCCACAGCCACCGCACAAACTGGACTGGATGAATGATTGGTTGCTATGGGTACTGCATTCAGGCCTAATCAATAAAATAGTGCAAGAAATCAGGCACCAAGTACAAAACTTACAGCCACCATCCATCATATACTGGTCTGGATGATTCATTAGTTGCTATGGGTCACTCTATTTTTACACCTTGAATTTTACTGTAAAAGCATGTAACAGTTCATTAAAAACATGTGTCACCATTATGCAGTGGACCTCATTTAACAATGTATTGGGGAAGTGGGGGCAGTGGACTGCTAAGCAGTCACACAGGTTACAATCAAATTGTATAATCTCCTTGATGGTGAGTTCACAACACAACACATTATGTGGGTTGCATTACCATTTACTCAGAAAGGCACCCCAACATTTACATACACAAGCTGCCGATACACCTGCTCTACTGCCTTGCCAAAAATTCTGCAGGTTTAGTTTTTCATGAGTTGAGCTGCACTGGTAACCCATTCAAAAATACATGGGTTCCCTTACCCCAATACACAAAATCGCATGCATTACAGCACGTGTGCTACTGACGCACAAACGTGAAGGTGCTTTATAGATTTAAAACACAACTACGTGGTGGTAGGGCCTACAAAAACAATCTGTTTTATCTACATCCAATTAGATGGGCCCTTGCAGTACGCTTTCAGTTGGAGAATATTGTACAATTAGACTGTAAATCATTGGGTCTCGTTTTAGACAGTCTGTACAGTTTACAGATTCACGTTTTCCTTCATCCAATGTGGAAAATGAAAGGAAAAATCTGAATGGTTGCTAATGGCAACACAAACTGAGCGACTTCCCCATCTTTAGATACATGGAGGCCTACTGTCATCACTCTATGACTTGTCCAAAAGAAGAACCATTGGGGTTTTATACCCAGAAACTTCTCCTCTTCATTCCTTATACAAGAGGTTGAAAATGGCTGCCAGCAAATGGTGCAAATACCATATACCAGGTGTAGCCAAACTTTGGCCTTCCAGATGTTAAGGAACTACAAGTCCCATAAGTCATTGCAAGGCTCTGGTAACCACGGGCTTGGCTTCCAGAAGCAGATGCATGATGGGTTTTATACCACAGCTGGAGGATCAACGATTGATTACCCCTGCCATACACACAAACAGACTAAAGCAAAAACACCAAACCCAGCAACCAATTACAATTCAGGTTGACATTGGTAAACTGAAATCTAATTGGCAGCTATTGGATCCCGCGCTTTGCCCATCATAAGGTCTCTTTGAATAAGCTTTTTGTTGTTTCTATGTAGTGATAAAAATAGAGTTTAAAATCATGACATTGTGCAGTAATAAACATAGAAGAAACATCATAATGATCCCAATCCACACACATACAAATGGAGTACAGTAAAAAACACAGTGGGTATGGTAAAAGGGGTGCAGGTTGGAAGACACGACCGAGTGAACGTTAGAACGATAAGTTATCAGCGCGATTTTGGTTGAGCTGCATTAAAAACGCGACAGAGCCCACGCGACCTCTGCGATACTGACAGGGAGGGGACAGCGGCGTCCGAACACAGGATATAAACATACCTTCATCCTCTAGGAAAAATAGAACTTCAATATTTACTTTATAATTTAGATATAACAACTTTGTGCATTTATGCAAATAAATAAAAAAATACAAAACATAAAAGGATAGAAGTGAAACAAAAGAAAAAAAACTTTGTCTGGCAGGCATTAAAAGGTAAAAGTGCACCTGTCACTCACACTCTGTGGCGGCAGCCATCATGTCTACTGATGATGTAACAATATGCGGAAAACAGCCGACAAGACAAAAAGGCAGAAGGGGGTATTTTAGGCCTCTAGTTAGCTGCTCGGCTGAAAAAAAAACACTGGCTCAGCACACATAGGGTCTTGGGAGGGTCATAGGTCATTACAATGCAAATGGCTGCAGCCGAGATGCCCAAGAAACCGGTACATTCCTATACTTCATCCATGAACGTCCGGCGGACTTTCCGAATAAAGATTCTGTATATAATTTCTTTTTGTACAAAAAAAGCTGGCACACTCCTGTAAAACAGGATAATGTCACTCAAAACGTCTCAAAGTACAGAATGCGTTTACACCATGGGCTCAAGAAAACAGCGTTCAGGACGAGACACTACAAGCACAAAGTGCACAGGTTTTCCTCTTGTTATTTACAAATACACAGCAGTTTTTCAAGTTTTTAAAAAAAAAGGAAGAAACCAAAAGAAAACAAAAAAGAAAAACATAACCCAACAAAATAAACCTTACAAAATGAAATCCAGTAAAGACAATTTTTACAATACACCGGCATCGCTAAACGGACAATGGACATTTATACACACATCTCATTCTCTATTATTTACAGCAATTACAAAATCGGCGATGCATCAGTTTGGAAAAAAAAACAACTCCCTATGACCCGACAGAGTAAAAGGCTCACTTGACTTGGTTCTGTAAACGGGTTTTGTACACCCTTTCACGTGTACACACGCGGGAAAATGCCTGATCCACGGCTGATCACCAGTCCGCATCTTCCTCTATGTAATAGTCAGGGGTGGTACCGTCAAACAAACCGGGGTCTAAGGATTTCCTTTGTTTACCCCGTGCAAAGACCCTCGAAATAGAACCAAAACCCATCTTCTCCTTTTTTTTCTTCCTCTTCTGGTCTTCAAGATCTTCTAAAGACTACAATAAAAAGGGGAAAAAAAAAAAAGAGTATAACAAATGTAATTTTTAATGGACAATCAAAACATGCACTATGCTATTATTTGGTTGCTCCTTTAGGCTCGTGCAGGCTCTTTAATGTGTGCTGGGTTTTATGTATATAGACCAGGAGTAGGCAACCTTGGCACTCCAGCTGTGGTGAAAGTACAAACCCCATCATGTCTCTGCCTTGGAGTCATGCCTGCGGCTGTTAGATACTTGCAATGCCCCAATGGACTTGTTCCACAACAGTTGGAGTGCCGAGGTTGCCTACCCCTGGTATAGACTAATTCTCTCAGAAACGCATGTGCCAAGAGGTTCCCTCAATTACTTTACTTGGGACTTACCCACAGCCCCCTGAAATACACATACTAATTCTATCTGAGTTGGGAATTGGACCCCCTTTCCCTCATCTACATATTATAATTCTCGGTGCCTGTGTGACCCATGACAAGCTCGAACATGGACACTCGGGAGGCCAGGAATATGTAAATCCCGACTTTTCATAATGTTGGTGTCTGAATAAGCAGTTTGGCGGGCTCTGCAGAGCTAATCCATCTCAAGAAAAGTATTTCCTGAAGGCTACTGGTGCCTTTTGTTTGGTAAACACCAACTTGCTACAGTAATGCTCTCTTTAAAGTTGAACTCATAAGCATAAGTTTCTACGCCCCTACCCCAGCAAGGGTCAAATGTTTGCTTAGTCTAGAGGAGATTAAGTATAGAAGGAATATTTCCCACTTTGCTCATTTCCCTACAGTCAGTGCTCTCCTCTGCCCGCAAAGTGGGGGGGACCTTGACATCCTCATGTACATTGCAGAACTGCTGGTCCTGCATTGTTTATTATAACATTGGAGAGGCCAAGACCACATGACCTGAAAAGAGGAGCATATTCATGGGATGGTTGAACGATGGGGAGGAAGCCTGTGGGAACAAGGAAGCATTCCGGCTTATTCTTCATCTCCTAGACCAGGGGTAGGCAAAGTCCCATCAAGCATCTGCCTCAGGAGACATGCCCGTGGCTGTCAGAGTCTTGGAATTCCTTATGAGATTTTTTTCATTGCACCGCAGCTGGAGGGACAGAGTTTGCCTACCCCCGCTGCTACTTCTATTTAATGGCTGACTGAAATTCAGCTATAAATATAATTTGGGTTCAGTGGGAAATGTTCTAGTGCTGCTTCCATCACATCACAGTAGACGATCAGTGCTGTGTGAAAGTCTTGCAGGACTGATGTTCTGGATCAAATAGCTATACATGGTCCCTGTATGCTTTGAGTTTGTATATTCTTCCCTTATCCACGTGGGTCCACTACTGCAATCCCAACATTTTCTATAAATTAACTGGAATCTGCCCAAACCGAATATTATGTGTTTTATTGTTATATAAATTGTAAGCTCCACTGGGGTCGAGACATACACAAATGGTTCAATGTACTGCAGAATATGTCAGCTCTGCGTAAACACAGGAAATACAAAAATGATACAATTTCACACGACAACAAGCAACATTTAGACACATGGGCACAGCGGATAATGCACAGGCACAACAGACCTGCCTTCCAATACGGAGAATGGTGTTTAAAAATAGTCTGATTTTGCATTTGAACAGTACTATGTGTCGGCAAGACTGATTATCTGTGGCTGGCTGTGGACAAGAACATTAAGTAAATGGCGTCAATGGTACAGCTAGTCAGTGGGGAGTATGTTTGTGCGAAGGATTACAACAGTGCCCAATGAAGCATGAGCAATTTTTGGTTGAAGGAAATCATGCCACAATTACCCAGAAAACTTTAGAAAAGCATTTCTTGACTCCTGTTCTGAGGGACTATTAAAACAAAAACGGAGGTCAAAGGGATTAATGACAGTGAAAGCATGTTAGGAAGATTCTATTAAATTAGTTTGTTTTGTTCCTGTGCCTACCGCCTCTACTACTCTACCGCCTCTACTGAATGAACGTACAGGTCCTATAGTACTAAATATGTCAGACACCCTTTTAACATCATTGAATGATTTTTATTCCCTGGTTCCTGTGGCTGTGTTCTAGTTTTTAAAAATGTTTTACGTGTACAATTGTCAGTGACAAAAACCATAATCGTTATTACTCCACAGAGGGTTGCATTAGGTTATTTGAAAGAAATACTTAGCATGTATGTGTATCTGCACGGCAAAAGCCATAAAGTTGCCAGAGAAGTGGTTTTGTAAGAAAAAAAAATCTGGGAACTACTCTACCCTTTCTATGCAAGCACTAGGAATTAAAAGAAAGTGAGTGAGAAAGAGGAAAAAAGAAGGGAAGACAACCTGGAAAAGATGAAAATAGCAGTTCAAGTGTCTCTATGTTCAGCGTGATCATGAGTTATGGTCAGTGGCTGGAAGAAATAGAAAAGATACCTCCTGCATTCCATTTGTCTGTGGTAGGGGACCAATATACAGGCTTTCCCCAACTTATATATGGGTAACTTGCTGAAACACTATCAAATTAAGGTTTTGTTCGTGTCAGATGTTCCAACTATGAATGTGGCACCTGCTCTATATGTAGTGAAAGTTATGCTGATGCTGCATGTACAGCAGGTGTAACCTGAATGAGTCACTGCTGTGTGTACAGCATTCACTATATAAAGCTGCTGGCATATGTGCAATGTGTGGTGGAATAGCCAAGCATAGGCTTGGCATATTTGCAAAGGGTGGTAGCCTGGAATATTTGCAAAGGGTGGTGGGATAGCCAAAGTTAGTATAACAAGGTAAAAAAAAAAGGAAAAAAAGGGGCAAATGTTTGTCTACTTTATGGCTTGGAGATTTGTATAGACCACAGTATGTATATGTATTATTTGATTGCCATGTTTTCTTCAAATGATGTGTCACGCTAGTGTGTATTTATGTGATGACCAAACAACCCAGTGCTGGCCTAATCTCACATGAGCAAATACTCATAAGCCAACTTGGGCGCGCGCGCACACACACGCACGCACACACACACACACACACACACACACACACACACGTTGGCCAACAATGTCCAATTTCTAGTAATATGGCTTGTTTAAGAAAGGCAAGTCTACAATTAAGGAAGTATAGCTTCACCAGACATACCTCCTTCACTAGACATTCCAAACCATCATCACCAGCCCCTACAGGTACCAGTATGACTTAAAAACATGTAAATAGCTAGATTTTAACTTGTATATTATGGGCTAGGAACAGAACAGCTGAAATAAAATCATAAAAGATTTTATCATATTTAACAGAAAATCACAAATCTACAAGCTAGCTACAGTTAGGTAGATATTTGATGCTGTGTTTGTGCAATCAAAGCATGTAATGTGCCGGTAGAGTTACAGACAATGGTACTTGATGTCACATTATGTGAATTTTTCCACTTTGATTTAATGTTCAAAAATAAAAAGAAAACCGTTTTCTATTTTCTTAAATCATTTAGAGATCCAGTAGGAGACAAACAGCCACACTCTGATGACGTCAGTTCTTCCATCCATCTTAACCGGACAATGCACACTGCAGCCCTATCTAGGACCACCTCAATAATGCATTTCACCCAGATAGTGCTTTCTCTGTGATTGAGCCCATACAAGGATGAAATCTATTAGAATGGCATGTTCCTAGGTAGGGCTGCAGTGTTCATGGTTTCCAGTTCAATAAACTTGGATTGATGACCACTTCAATAACACATTTCACCCATGTAGGGCTTTCTCTAGGATTGAGCCCATACAAGGATGAAATATGTTAGAATGGGGTGTTACTAGGTGTAGCTGCAGTGTCCATGGTTTCCAGTTCCATAAAGTTGGATGACCTGACATCAACAGAATGTGTTTGTCTTCTAGAAGTCTTCCGTTTGGTCTGCACCTGGTACACCGAAGGCTGGGGATACATTACAAGTCTGGAGTGGTGACATTCTCCTTGTCTTCCAATCCAGTCCTATAGCCTCTTCATTTGGTTCGTATACCTCTATAAAAAGGTATGGGTACCCCTGGTTAAGAACCTGTCCATCAGCAAATAGCCCAAGGTACATACAGCCTCTGGATTTTCTTAAAACTTTATAAAAAGGTAGATAAACCACATATATTCTCCTGTGCCCGACACAAGTCTACAAACATTTTGTGGGCTTGGTGTCTCTTTAAATAACTTGGTATAATTCCGTTTAAATTACATTGTTACAACAGTTATCCTTCTAATCAAAACCGATGTTCAAATTCCCAAGATACCAATTTGATATTTTTTATTTTCCTTAATAAATATTTCATTTGACATTATTACAACCCCGAGTTTTATTTCTGATGCCCAGGACGATTCTGTTGTTTGCCTAGCAGCAGCATATTCCCCTGACACAGATGCACGAGGAATTAATCATCACGCTGCTTTATTCACACACACACATACATTTTCCTCACTTCCATATGTCAACTCAAATTCCTCGGCTTTGTAACCAGGAAACAACACACAGACGACTTTGCGTGATGGAACACAGCCGTTACCCATCATCCTCTCCTTCAGACAAGGCATGCAGCGTACACAGTGACAGCAACAGATAAACAAGGAAGGGCTCAGGGATGGATAGAATAAAGGAATATAAAAAGGAGACCTACACTACCGTCTTACATTGCAGAGGGAATGCGTTCTGTGCCTTGGCGAGTTGATATCACTAGGTGTCGACGATCTGTCGCCATCCGCGGCGGATGCGTCGGATATGATTGAGGGTTGCCGAGAATGGCAAGGACTTACTCTGACACCTAAAGAAGAAAGAGCAGCAAGCAATGAAAGTATTAGGCAGCAAATACGGAATTCTAAATCGGTATGCAGGCTCCGTCTCACCCAGTTGAAAGGCAACATAGATTGTAAGAATCCATTTCAGGAAAGCGTTATGGATTTAACCATTAACACTGTTGTGATGCGGTTTCTTTTATTAAAGTATCAATAAAATACTCTTTTTTTTAAGTTTAAACATATTAATGTAATTTCAATATTTTAAATTTTCAGACTTTAAGGCAGAAAATTATTCAAAACCCTAGCAGTGGGGCTACCCCCACGCCACAAAAGGTTAAGTGCTTGTTTTGGTCTAGGGAGGAAATTAAAGCTATACTCACACAATCCTCCACGCTGGCCAGCTGTATCAGTTCTCCCTCCTGCCTGCCTCCTCCTCCACTGGAGTGATGGTGTGTCTCTCCGCATCCTCACGTCCTACACACAGTGTATAGGATGTGATGACTTATGGGACCTTAGACTGCTGCAGCACAGGGGGAGAGAGGCTCCAGGGACCGTTCTAAGAGTAAGCTGGCTCCGAGGATCACTCAAGTATAACTTTGTCTCTGTTAATTTCTTCCCTAGACCAAAACAAGCACTTAACCCTTTGTAGTGTGGGGGTAGCCTCACTGCAAAGGTTAATAATAATTTTCCTGGGAGTTCTTTAATATAGTAACTGGTGATCCTTTCATAAACGTTGACGGTTCAGACACTTCCTTTGTAAGGTGACAACACTCTGTCCCTGTCTCATAATGAAGCTCCTGCATTGACACCTTACTTTTTTAAAGGGCTGCTTAACACGTGTGGACGCCTGTGATGCAGTGTACATGGTGATGTGAATGGACCCTCAGGGTTTCATATATACTTTAAAGGCTTATAAAGGAATCCTTTATATTTGAGGGACCCAACCAAGTTGTCCCTTATATGTACTAGAAACAAAATTATACGGCTAAACTTTGCAGTTTTGGGGTAATTTGACCAGAAGCTTTAGGGGCATATATGCAAACAATGTGGCCAATATGATGAAGGTTGGCTGGATACCATAAATCAGCAGAATTTATATACTTAAACAATGCTTATCCTTCTTTATAAAGGTTAAAATAATCAAGATTGTTTTTTTTTATAGGAGCAAGATTATTTTTCATGTTTCTTTAGTAAATTGAGAGCAAAGATTCCCTCCTACGACTCATCCGCTGGGAACTTGGCAGTGCAACTACAGTCAACATGTGCACTTAATTAGGTCGAAGTCATCTTACACTCTTAATAACAATGTCTCCTGTTTGCAGGAAAGTTTAGGTCATGACTAATAGCACGGATACCTCTGAAGACCACAACAGATCAATACTTGGAAACCAACCTTGCCGGTCTACGGTATGCTGAGGGTGCCCGTGGTAAAGCGTTTGCTGGCTCTGTCGGATGGCTGCAGTAAGCGGGAGGTCTGCGTGCATGACCCATTCCTGGTTCCCGTTTATGACCGTTTCACCTGGCATGGCAAGAGAATGTCGCTTGGGGACATCTTTCGTTAGGGTTGCTAAGGACTGCTTGGCCTGAAAAAAAGAAAACCTTGTTGATGATCATGCTCCGGGTCTCTTTAAAAACAATACAAAAAGGGGGAACAAAATTAAATGAACAAATTAAGATATAAAAGACAAAAGGGATTCCTGCCATTATGGGAGAGAAAGTTTTATTAGACCTGCCAATTAACTAAAACACAAATTGTGTCCCCATGCCTTAAGCACACTTTTCAGGACTTTACATTCAGGACTTATTATACTATACAATAGTATATTTTTTCAGAATGAGTTTCTGTCTAGTGACTATGCCTAGGCTGGGATGATACCAATCAGTCTGCTGCAGCCAGGAGGAAGCCTTTTCTCGGTCTCCTCTCCAACACTAACTTTGTAGCAAGTTGAGAAGCTGCAGGAGAGCCTGATCTGTGTCAGACGTTTGTGAACAGAGCCAACAACTGCACTGGTACCGATATTTACTTAAAGGAAAACTATGAGGTGAGTGCTTTTCACTCAACTCATAGTTCTAGCCGACAATGAGACTGTCACAGGTCGGCTCAGTAGATCGGGAAGTGAGCGAACACATACCGGCGTTCGCTCACCTCTCGATCCTGTCACAGCTCTCTGCCGTGACAGGGGAGGGGCTGGATTCCCCCTCCCCGATCCGCCAGCGCTGACTGGTGGAACGGACGGGGGAGGGGGCGGGTACAGCTGGCTCTGCCTCTAGATAGAACTAGGATGCTAGTTTGTGTCCTCCCGTAACCCTGAGAACTATGGGGAAAAGCCTTAGCCCCATAGTTCTCCTTTAACTGTCATCTCTGAGCCAGCATCTCAGTCCAGAAAGTAGATGCTGACCATGAATGATGCCTGAACACAGCTGTTACCATCCTTCTGGAGAGAAAGATGGCATTGTCAGGAGAAGTATGGCAACTAACAGTGGATTCCCCCACTCCCTGTTGTATATTAGGAATGGGAAGTGAAGAGAACTCTCCCCACTGGGCCGTAAAAAAACCCAACCACCTCACAGGGGTTTTAACCATTAGCTAACACAGTGGCATAGTGGTTAGCGCTTCTGCCTTGTAGCACTGGGGGTTCCTGGTTCGAATCCTTGCCAGGTCACTATCTGCAAAGAGTTTGCATGCTCTCCCTGTTCTTGCCACCAGACATGCTGGTAAGTTAATTGGCTCCTCTCTAAACCGGCCCTTGTATGTATGCATGTGAGATAGGGAGCTTACAATCTAAGGTCCCTGATGGCAGGGACTGATGTGAATGTGCACTGTGTGTAAAGGGCTGCGTAAAATTGTCGGCGCTATACAAATACCAATAATAATACTCTACCTTTAAATATAATTTCTTAAATGCTTGTCGAATGTTGTAACTAATAAAAAAAATTTTCCATTTTCAAAATGGCAGACTGTTGCCTGAATCCATTTGAAGAAGAATGAATAGTATCAAAAATAACAGTCTAGAGAGTTCCAGCCTTAGGTTTCCAAAATATTCCCCATCTGCCAGTTTGAAGTGTTCTGGGTCACATGTTTATGACCTGAAAGTGTTATGGATGTGAGAACAGGCTTTAAACATTTCATCGTTTGCTTGCACTGAAGCAGTAAATATTACCCGTGGAAAGTGAATTTACATAGCACCAGTATGAGGACTCGACACGGTGCATTTGGCTTTCCAGGAATTTGGGGAATTCCCCGTTTACTTTCAGCTGTTGCTCACACACTGCATAAAGTTCCCAGAGGCCTCCTATGATCACAGCTGCCAACTGAGAGGTTTTATGGCTCCTTTGTTCAGCTCCTTCAAAGCCAAGGAACAATATTTTGTCCATTTAAGTCCCTTTAAACTTGGCAGAACTTGACACACAGTCAAATATGGGCAATTATAGTTGAAAAAGAAAGTCTTAAACCAGACCTTGTGTAAAATACAAGAACATAATTCACAATGCTCACTCAAATATGTAAAGTAAACGAAACATGTAAAGCCATCCATATTATGTGATGGTGCTTCCTCTCTATCCCACCATTAAACTGCAGCATTAGGAATGTCAAACCTATACTGCCTGCCCCCCCCCCCCCAAAAAAAAAAAGTCACACCCGAATATTTTATTGGACAGTCTTTCGTTTTTATTCTGGCACGCATTCGCAGTGGGATTGTTTCCATAAGCTTATGCAATGTCACAACATTTATTTACGCCCAGAGTTGCATTCATCTTGTATTATGCATCATTACATAAAGTCTTCTCCAGCACATCGCAAAGATTCTCAATGGGGTTAAGGTCCGGACTCTGTGGTGGCCAATACATGTGTGACAATGATGTCTCATGCTCCCTGAACCATTCTTTCACAATTTGATAAATCCTGGCATTGTGATCTTGGAATATGCCTGTACCCACGGGGAAGACCAAATCCATTGCTGAAACCTGGTCATTCAGTATATTCAGGTTGGACGCTGACCTCATTTTTTGGGGACATAATGAGGGGAATTTATAAAAACTGGAGCAGCTGTGCGTAGCAACCAATCAGCATCCACCTTTCATTTTCACAGCTTAACTCAACAGACTGCAGAGAGAAGATGAATGGTTGCCATAGGCAACCGTTCCAGATTTTGTCTGCTCCAGTTTTGATAAATTCCCATCAGTGTTGCTGAACCTAGGCCTATTATCCAAGGTAGGCTCTGACCTATTGCTTAGCTAAATTCAGGTGGTGACTTTTTTTTGGACAGGCAAGACAGCTCACGGTGTACAAGACAGCTCACGGTTTCACAGATGTGCTCATCATGTGATGTCTGCAATCCCCTTCTGCACCCCCATTTCTTAGCAATATCTGAGTAAAACAGTGAGATGAAATCTGCAAGTAATGCCCTCCTGACAATCTGAGATCAATCAAATTTGGTAGTTTTTTTCCTCATGTGCTCCTAATGCAAGATCGTATCAAAATATCCAAACATTCCAAGAATTGACCAAATGACCATGTTGCGATTTAATGTTGTTAAAAATGTTGTTTTTCGATCTGAAACTGTCACAATCTAAAATAACAGTCAATAAAGGTTGCCCCGAAAATCCCAGCTGAACCACTTATACCCATATAATATTTGTGGCGCTTTCTTGCTGCTCTGTGAGAGCCCTGAGGAAATACTCCATGCTTGGAGCTTGTGGCCTCCTCTGAGGATGAGGGCTCAGGTGTGAACACACACATGAGGATGATTATGTCATCATCATACCTGTATAAGCTCAGATACCATCCCACAAGCAGTTTACACAGGGCTTGGACTTTTGGCTCTAAAGGGGCAACGGAGGAATGAGGAAGCACACAAGAGTTAAGTATAAGTGAATTGGGGTGGGGGTCAAGAATATCTGTTACTTTGTCCAAAGCGACAAAAGTATCTTTAAAGAGACCTTGTCAGGTCTCTGAACCAACCAAACTGGCACTCCTCTGCAACAGAAGAAGTATACTCACCTCTCTGCAGGCCCATGTGAAAAAAATATGCTCTTTGGCATTCAACACTTTAGGGACTGCGAGATGGCTGTGTCTCATGCCATGCACTGTGGTTTCTTCATACAACCCCAATGTCACTGCTGTGTCCTGAAGTGAGAGTCGGAGGAAGGGACCATAGCATGGGGGCAGGAGACACGGGCATCCAACACTCCTGGAAGTGTCAAATTATGAAAAAACTGAAGGAGGGGGAAACAAAGGGAAAATAGGAGACACGGGCTGCTAGAGAGGGTAGTATACGATCAGTTCTATTGCAGGGAAGTGCCAGTTTAATCTGTTTAGAGAATTTACAGGGTCCATCTAACTATATTTGAATACATTTTTCAGGCCTCCCTACCTGTACTTCATAATCCAATGTACTGCTTCCAAAGTGCAAATGAGAACACACCACTGGGGGTCTTTTCATTCCGGCAAAGTGTTTAAAAAGGGAGCAATGCCTCCATCCCGCGGGGATATTTATCAAGATGCCTTCTATGGGGATCTTATTTAGACATGGTATTTACACGGTCTCATTTATCTTGACATAGTATTTACAGCCTATTTAAAATCAGGAATTCCTGGTGCACCAGAGGTCTATATAATTGCCCCCACTGGGGCTGTAAGTCTCTGATTTGCCCTTTATCCTGAACATTTAGGTGAATTATATGTGTCATTTGTGGGTTTTCTTATTCCTGAGGCTCCCAGAAACAGTGACAGGTCTAGACATGCGCTCCTAAACAGCCAGGCTCTGAAAGATGAGGATTGGGTTTGGTATTAAAGGGGAACTTTGCTCAGGATACAAAAAAAAATAGATTTGCTGTATATATCAAAAAGTTTGTGGACACTTAGCCATCACACCAACCTATATGGTCAAAAGTATGTGGATACATTCCAAATCTTTAAGCTAAGGTGTTTCAAGTGAAATGTAAAGTTAATGCTGCAACAAGAACATTGTAGGCAGTAATAACAGTTTGGGTAAAGCCATTTTGTGTTCCAGCATGAATGTGCCCTTGTGCACAAACATTGCTCCATAAACACATGGTTTGAGGAGTTTGGTGTGAAGCATCTTGGGTGGCCTGGGCAGAGCCCTGACCTCAATCCTACTGAACACATTTTGGATAAATAACACAGGTTGTGAGCCAGGTCTCCCTGTCCAACAACCTGATCTCACAAATACCCTTTTGGCTAAATGGGCACAATATCCAACACACCCCAAAATCTTGTGGAAAGCCTTCCTAGGAGATTGGGGATTTATATTAATGCCCATGGTTTTAGAATAGGATATCCAACAAGCCTATATACTGTAGATGTGGTGGTCATGTGCCCAAGATTCTTTGACCAAATAGCATATCATGTGTTATATAATGTCAGATTATCTGTACCCACACACTGAAGGCTTCAATTTGCACATCACCAGTAAGTTACAAACTGCTGATGGGGAGAGGAGTCCCTGCTAGTGATGGCTGAATTGACCTGGGTTTGATTGGTCATGGACTTGGCAAATCTTGTTGAGAATTCAGAGTACCTGAACTTAGAAGCAAATCGCATTGTAGTCTATTGGGTGAA